TTGTTGGATGGCATCACCGACTCGATGGGCATGAGTTTGAGTAAACTCCGGGAGTTGGTGATGGACAGGGAGGCCTGGTGTGCTGCGATTCATGGGGTCGCAAAGAGTCGGACACGACTGAGCGACTGAGCAACTGAACTGAACTGATCCCTTTGGAAGAACAAAGCAGCATCCCAAGAGAATAGGATACAGAGCAAGTTGTGCATGTGTTTAGGGCATGGGGTGGGGCTCAGTGGCAAAGAACATACCTGTCAATGCAGGAGACGCAGGAGACACAGGTTTGGCCCCTGGGTCGGGATGATCCCCTGGAGGAGGGAATGGCAACTCACTCCAGTATCCTTGCCTGGGAAACCTCAAGGACAGGGAAGCCTGGAGGGCTACAGTCCACGCGGTTGCAAAGAGTCAGACAGGACTGAGTGACTGAGCACACACACGCTATAAAGAAGAATAGGTCTAGTTCCTGAGGACCTTCCTAGATGAGGTAAATTTAGACAAGCTAAAGGCACAGCCAGGAATCAGTATGAGGGCCATGAGTTGGGTTTCATGCTCATTTTTCACCTGGGCATGAAAACTGGACAAATGGATACAAAACACGGAGGGGGAGGTGCAGGACCAGCGTTATGGCCTTGGCAGCACTTTCACGCTTAGAGTCCTTTGCCCAGAGCTTATCATATACTGCTGACCCTTGAATAGCGTGGGTTCGCACTGTGTGGGTTCACTTACAAGTGGATTTTTTCTGATAACATTGGAAAATTTGTCTGAGATTTGCCACAAACTGAAAAAACTCAGATGAAACACATAGCCTAGAAATATCAAAAGAAATAACTAAGTTAGGTGTGTCATGAATGCATGGAATTTATGTAGATACTATTCTATTTTACCATTTGCCACCATAAGATATACACAAATCTTTTACTAGGAGTTAAAATTTATCAAAACTCACACACATGCACACTCACACTCTCCATTTGCAGTGGAGAGAAACGTAAACAAATGTGAAGCTGCAGTATTCAATCATAATCATATAAATGAACACACTGTACACACACAAGTACACATACTGTACCACTGTAATACTTGTGTGGCCACCCCCCTGTTGCTGTGGTGAGGTGATGAGTGTTGCAAGTAACTGCCAAAGGTGCTGACCTTAATCGTCTCCACATGACGAGCTGTCTCTCCAGTAAATTGTGTATCACTATGGTAAGTTCTCTTTCAGGGTTCTGGTGTATCTTTCATTGTGTTTAAAATGATACTATAAACCTTGATTAACACCAAGGGACCCATAAAAAGTACCACTAGTGATCCTGGAAATGCTCCCAAGAAGCAGAGAAAAGTCATTACAAGCAAAAGCTGAACTGCTTGATGTCTGGAATCTGAGGTCTGCAACTGCACCTGCCCACCATTCCAACATAAATAAATTCAGTGTAAGAACCGTATTTAAGAGAGAAAAGGAAATCCATGAAGTTGTTGCTGCAGCTACACCAACAGGCACAGAAACCTTGCATCTTTTGTGAAATACCTTTTTATCTTATATTGCAAATGCAGTTTCTATGTGGGTGCAATAGACTCTAATAAAATTTGAGAAAAAGCAAAGTCATTATATGACAACTTAAAGCAGAAAGAAGGTGAAGGATCTAAAACTGGAGAACTAAGTGCCAGCCAAGTTTGCTTTGATAATTTTAGTAAGAAGTTGGGCTTAAGTAACATCAAGATAACAGGAGAAGCAGCTTCTGCTGACCAAGAGGCAATAGCCAAGTCCTAGACGCCATTAAGAAAATCATTGACAAGAAAGAATATTTGCCTGAAAAAGTTTTTAATGCAGATGAAATTACCCTATTCTGGGAAAAACTGCAACCAAGGACATTTATTAGTAAGGAAGAGAAGTGAACACCAGGATTTCAGGCAGGAAGGGACAGACAAGCTCTGCTCTTCCGAGCACAGGCACTGGAGTTCATGATCCACCCTCCTCTATAAAACTGCTAACCCCCAAACCTAGAAGGGGAACAGATAAACACAAGCTGACAACCTTTTGGTTGTGCAAAAAGAAGGCCTGGATCATGACAACTCTTTTTCTTTTTTTGGTCCCTGAAATCAGGAAGTACTGTGCCAGTAAGGGACTGCCTTTTAAAGTTCTTTTGATATTGGACAATGCCCCTGGCCACCCAAGAACCCCACGAGTTCAGTTCTATGAGCAGACCACCAAGTGGTGGTATTGGCCTCAAACACAACATCTCTATTTCCAACCTCTAGATCAGGGGGTCATCAGGACTTTTAAAGGCTCACTACACACGGTACTCTACAGAAAGAACTGTTGATGCTATGGAAGAGAATGCCTAGAGTGAGAACAGTATGACAGTCTGGAAGATTACACCACTGAAGATGCCATTTCTTGTAGAAAAAGCTATGAAACAATAAATTCCTGCTGAAGAAAACTGTTCCAGATGTCATGCATGACTTCAGAGAATTTACAATAGAGCCAATCAAAGAAATCAGGAAATAGATTGCAAATACAGCAAAATAGGTGGGGGAAGCGTGGCTGTGAAGGGTCTCAAGACAAGGATCTTGGAGACTTTCAAGAGCTAATGGACACCACATCAGAGGAATTAGCAAAAGATGATTTGACGTAGATGAGAGCTCCTGAATCAGTGCCAGATAATGAGGAAAAAGACGTAGGAGCAGTGCCAAAGACAAACTGACATCAGACAATCTGATAGAGTGTTCTGCTTATTCAAGTGAAAGTGAAAGCAGCAGTCGCTCAGTCGTGTCTGACTCTCCATGACCCCAAGGACTGCAGCCTGCCAGGCTCCTCTGTCCATGGGATTCTCCAGGTGAGAATACTGGGGTGGGTTGCCATGCCTTTCTCCAGGTGATCTTCCCAACCCGGGGTCAAACCTAAATCTCTTATATCTCCTGCATTGGCAGGCAGATTCTTTAACGCTTGAGCTACCTGGGAAGCCCTGCTTATTCAAGACTGCTTTTTTTTTTTTTTCAAGACTGCTTTTAAACTTCTTTTTCAACATGGATCTTATATGATACAGGGACCGAAACTAAAGCAAACAGTGGAAGGAGGACTGGGATCCTGTATACACATTTTTAGAGAAATGAAAAAGCAGAAAAGTCAGACAGAAATCATGATGTATTTCCATAAAGGGACATCGAGGGTGCCTGCCTCTCTCCGCCCCCCCCCACTTCTGCCACCCCTGGGGCAGCAGGACCACCCCATCCTCTTCCCTCTCCTTCTCCTCAGCCTGCTCAACATGAAGATGAGGAGGATGAAGACCTCTGTGATGATCCACCTCCACTTAACGAATAGTAAATAATCATCATGTCATTCAGTTAACAAACTTATCTGCTGTGTATGCACATGTCCTCACGTGAAAATCTAATAATTGTGAGAGGTCTCTATGTCATCACCAACATCGCCTAAGTGTTTATCACACAGAACACTGTGTGCAAGACTTGTACAGAAGTGGATAGGCTATCCTCACATAGGCTAAGATGAGTCACATGTGATACAAAATTAATAATGTGTTAGTTTTCTTACTGTTATATAACTTGGCTTTCAAAGAATTACATTACTGTATAGCATGCTTCTCTTTCTCTTCTTGTAATTGTAGAAACTATCAGTCTTCACCACATGTAAGTGGTTTTTTTTTCATGTAAGTGGTTTTTAAAAAATGTACTGATGTTTCTAATATTTATTATAAATATGGCTGTAATACTGTGTGCCAAAAAAATTTCTAGTTCTTCATTCATCAGTATACAGGCTAGGCTACCATAAAGCAATCATATTGCTGCTTATTTTTATCAATGCATGAATCATTATATCTGTAAATGTGAATTTATTTTTCCTATTAATTTTTAATTTTTTAATGTTAGTATTACATATAACATTTACAGTGTTTTGTATCACATAAGACAATATTGACATGGGTAGTGACAGACAATTCATCTTGTAAACAGAAAGATGTAAACTTTTGGTATAAATAAATACAATACAGTGCCATCAATATATTTTCATTTCCTTATACTTTTTCTTAGTATTTTTTCTAGTTTGCTTCATATAGGAATACAGTAGGTAACATATATAACTTACAAAATATGTGTTAATCAACTGTTTATGTTATCAATAAGGCTTCCAGGCAGCTGTGGGCTATTAGTAAAGTTTGGGGGGAGTCAAAAGTTTTATATATGTATATATATATATATATATATATATATATATATATATTTTTTTTTTTTTTTTTTACTTTAGCAAGGGGGGTTGGTGCCCCAGACCCTTGCATTATTCGAGGGTTCATGGTACGTCTTCCTGTAATTGCTGTTACTTTTCCACATGTGATCACTCTGTTCCTAGAGGGAAAGTTCTTTAAAGGCAGGAGATAAGTTTGCTTCATCACTGTGCTCTTAAAAGCCACAGCACAATGCCACTTGCATAACAGTTAATTATTATATGAAACATTGCCTACTTTACTATATTGCTATTTACGGGTAGCCTCTGTACATGAAAATCAGAATTTCAAAAGTGACTGTCATAAAAATGAGTGATGGAAAGAGGAGTAAAGGCCAAAACCCTGATGCTTTATGAATTTATTCTATTTTACAACCACTTTGTGAAACCCTAAGCTTCCAAGAATGTATGGTAAAATCAATATTCAGAAATATAAATCTATGTGTATATGAGAAAAACAGGTTTATTGCTTCCATTTCAAATCAGCAGGATAACAGTGTTTGGAAGAGATGCCAAAAAAAAGAGGAGAGAGAAAAAGTTTAAAGGTAAATCTCTGTCACTGAAAAAAGCATTTTCTGAATGAGAATAAACATTTTCACAAATTACAGGAATGACAATTAGCCTCGTGTGTTTAGAAGAGGCCAAACATTTGTTTTTTTCTCTTTAATATGCATCAGTTCTATTGGACTCTAAAGCTATAACTTTTGATTTCTTAATAATATTTCATAATTACTTAATTAAAACTGTATTTGAATTGCAACAAAAACACTTACTTTGAGAGCCAGAACTCAGCTGTACTTGTGCAGATGACTGCTGTGGTCTTGAGGATGGTTTTGGAGGCAATTTAGCCTGGGAAGAGAAGGAAAAATGCACATGATTTGAAAACCCTGTTTTTACTTAGAAGCATATGACGCCCCCGCCAGTGCGTGCACATGCAAACATTAGCCCCTGCACTCATTAGCAGAGCACACACCGCTCTGGGCCACCCCTGGTTGAACCGGACAACAGGTGGGTGACCGCAGGGGCCGAGCTTCTGCAGCTGGCAGCGTCCCTCCCCCCGGCCCCGCCACCACGCAGGAGGAGCCAGCGCAGAAGACTCTGCGCACATCAAGGCACCAGGCCGGCAGCAGTAATTAATTATTAATTAATATTATAAAGGTCTATCCTCGCAGAAAGGCAATCAAAGAAAACCACGTTTCTTCCTGAAATTTGTATAGATGATTGTCAAGGTTTTATGACATTTTTCACACGAACTGTATGCAAATGAAATTACAAGGGAGGTTTAGTAGGGTGTTTAGAATCGGATAGGAAGGATGTGTGTGTTAGTCCTGTCCGACTCTTTGTGACCCAATGGACTGTAGCCCACCAGGCTCCTCCGTCCAAGGAAATGTCCAGGCAAGAATACTGGAGGGGGAGCCACGGCCTCCTCCAGAGGGTCTTCCCTGGCTCAAGATGGAACCCGGGCCCCCCGCGCTGCAGGCAGATTATGGACTGAACCACCTGGGAAACTCAATATCAAAGACAGAATAGCCTATACGAAGAATTCTCTGCAGCTGTGAAGAAAAACAGAGAAATCCGGCATCACCGAAGCCACCTTCTGCTCCCGGGCGGCCCTTCTGGCGTTGACCCGTTGCCCTTCGCTTTCATACTTCTCAGTAAAGGAGTCAAGAATTTCATAGAGGTCTTCTGCTTGAGCAGGCCGCGGCATATCACCAAATAAAATGTCGCAAGCTCGAACGTCTTGACAATAGAATCTAACAGGAAACACATGAAGAACATTTACTTTGCAGACATAGATCTTTTCTAGAGGTGATTAAACGTAGGGCACACACCCTCGTATGTTAGTGTGCTTCACTGACCTACTGTACTTACATAAACTACTTTTCAAACACTAACTACCCATGTTAAGGCCCTGAATCCATCCCTCTAAGCTCACCTCTAGAGGCAACTGCCATAAGTGGTCTGATATTTATATCCTTTTCCCAATAATATAAAAGTACTGCACATACACATACATTTATACATAAAAACATATATATATAATCTTTATATATAAACATATACAAATATATATATTAAACACTTATGCACATGTACCTACAAGCACATATATTTTTACAGGTTTTTGCTTTATAAGTTTCTTATAAAAATGGTGCCAACCTATAGTTCCCTAAAATGCTTATTTGTAACAAAATTATGTAAGGATTTGCCTTACATGCTTGGAAGCCCTGCAGTTGATTAAAAAGTATATTTGGTTTAGTTTATCCAGGAATTAGGTGAACTTTAGTGGGGAAATCTTCCAAAGGCCTAGAATCACACATTTCTAAAAGCATTCTTAACTTAAATTTCTCAAATTAATAAAACCAGAAGTAAAAACATTTCTCTTGACTTTACAAGTTAGAGAGTTCTGCAAGCCTTACTTTTTCCCCCATTCCTCCCATTTTCTAGTTGCTGGGGCCTGCACTGAACAATACTGAACGAGTGTGGGATTCCAGGTGGGAGAGCCACACACGCGGCTCCTGACTTCTCTCTGTCAGCTGTGAGCAGCAGGCGCTTGTCTATCACCAGCAGGGCCAGCTCTGTCAGGGTTACTGTTGTGGGATTCCTGCCAGTTTCTTCAAGTAGTCCTCTCAGTCCTAGCTTTTTACCTTTTTCTGGGCAATTAGACACATTTTAGTGGAAATTCGGAAGCACAGTTTTGGGAACTATTAGCTAGATGCCAGGTTAAAGAGGAAGTTCCTTATTCCCTATTAGGATACTTCCAAATCTTGTATTTTTTTTTAGATCAAAATTGGTCTGTGAGTTACGGAAGAAAGACAAAGGCTGAGTGTAACAATAGGGAACCTCTTAAAATGATGAATACTGTGCTTTTATTACATTGGTACAAAAGTAATTGTGGTTTCAGACCATGCATTTTAAATCATTATAACTAGGTTCAAAAACATCTTTATTAATCAAAATAGGAATCATTACAATCAACACATTTTTGCCAACAAGAAATAAGTTTGCTTATTCCTGTAGTGTAAAAATTCGTGCTTCAGGATTCAGTGAACTCTTGCAAAGCATCTTCTGCCTCCTGCTGGTTGTGGAAGAATTTTGCCTGTAAAAAGTTGTTGAGATGCTTGAAGAGTGGTAGTCAGTTGGCGAGAGATCAGGTGAATATGGTGGGTGAAGCAAAACTTTGCAGCCCTATTTGTTCACCTTTTGAAGTGTCAGTTGTGTGATATATGGCAGGCGTTATCACGCAGGAGAATTAGGCTCATTCTGTTGACCAATGCCAGCTGCACGTATTGCAGTTTTTGAAGCATCTCTTCGATTTGCTGAGCATACTTCTCAGAGGTAAAGGTTTCACCAGGATTCCGAAAGCTGTAGTGGATAAGATCAGCAACAGACCACCAAGCAGTGACCATGATCTTTTTTGGTGCAAGTTTGGCTTTGAGAAGTGCTTTAGAGCTTCTTCTCAGTCCAACAACTGAGCTGGTCATCACCAGTTGTCGAATAAAATCCTCCTTTCATCACACATCACAATCCAGTCAAGAAATGGTTCATTATTGTTGCTTAGAATAAGAGAAGACTACATTTCAAAATGACTTTTTTGATTTTTGGTCAGCTCATGAAGCACCCACTTATTGAGCTTTTTCACCTTTCCAATTTGCTTCAAATGCAGAATGACTGTAGAATGGTCGATGTTGAGTTCTTCGGCAATTTGTCATGTAATTGTAAGAGGATCAGATTCAATGATGGCTCACAATTGATTGCTGTCAACTTCTGATGGCCAGCGACTACGCTCTTCATCTTCAAAGCTCTTGTCTCCTTGCAAAACTTCTTGAATCGCCACTGCACTGTACGTTCATTAATAGTTCCTGGGCCAAGTGCATTGTTGATACTGCAAGTGGTCTCTGCTACTTCACAACCCATTTTGAACTCAAATAAAAAAAATCACTTGAATTTGCTTTTTGTCTAACACCATTTCCCTAATCTAAAATAAATATAAAATAAACAGCAAGTAATAAGTCATTAGCAAAAAACATAAAGCAAGAAATGAGCATTAAAATGAAGTATAACATAACCACATTTATTTAAGAATGGATTCCAATATCAAATGACAAAGTTCAACAATGTAAAACCAGTATTACTTTCGCAGCAACCTAATATGTTATAAGGATGGCTTCTTTCCTTCAACCTCATGAACCAGCTTCTGCCAGCTCCACACTTTTCTTCTGCAGCTTCCACGCCTCTCAGCACCTTCATAGAGTTGAAGAAAATTAGGGCCTTGCTCTGGATGAGGCTTTGGCTGAAGGCAATGTTGTGCTTGCTTGGATCTTCAATCCAAACCACTAAAACTGTCTCCATATCAGTGATAAGGCTGTTTCGCTTTCTTATCATCCATGCTTTCACTGGTATGGCGCTTGTCACTTCCTTCGGGAACTTCTCCTTTGCTTGGCTGACTATTCGGCACAAGAGGCCTAGCTTCCGGCCTGTCTCAGCTTTGACGTGCCTTCCTCATTAAGCTCAGGCGTCTCCAGCTCTTGGTTTAAAGTGAGAGATGCGCAGCACTTCACTTGAACACTTGGAGGTCCTTGTTAATGTCAGTGTATTGTATCTAAGGGAACAGGGAGGCCTGAGGAGAGGGACAGAGCCTCGGGGAGGGGCGGTCAGAACACAGATGCGCTTACTGACTAGGTTCTCTCCCGAAAGGGCGCAGTGCCTGGTGTCCCAAACAATCACAACCGTAACATCCAAGGTCACAGATTGCAGATCACCGGGGCCGATGTAATAATGAAAAAATTTGAAATCCTGTAGGAATTACCACAACATGACGCAGACTCGAGGTGAGCAGGTGCTGTTGGAAACGTGGTACCAGCAGACTTGCCACACGAAGGTTCTCTGTACACACTTAAGAACCATGTTAATCTACAAAGCCTTATTCTCTTCAAGTCAATTAAAATTATTTGCCTTACACTTACTTTCGGTTAGTTTCCTTCCTCTCAATCAAACAGCTGCCTTCTAAAGATATGCCGGCGAAGAGGCCTCTTGACTTGCAGTAAGTAAAGACGGCAGCTGAGCTTCTTAGGGAGACATTTCCTTCTAAATTCCTGCAAAACAGAAGGTGAGCATCCCAGCACTGTGAGCGTGTTCATCTAAAGGTGACTGTCTGACTGGCACTAACTTCCAACCCAAAAGAAGGATCTTGCTGTATACCTACTTTTCACTTTATACCTACTTTATTTTTATATATTTTACTTCCTGCTGGCCTAAGCTAGGTGTGTTGAAGGTAGTTCAGAGGAAAGGACAGTTCACAGCACGGACATAGTAGGCAAGATGGTTGTAGGACAAGGTGATACACATGAAGAAAACATGTTAAGCTGAGATTTTCCAACTTTGTCTTCTTTTACCAAAACAGGGAAGTGCATCTCAAGAGTAAAAGACTGTGGTTCTTTTTACTATGAGTATTTTCATAGAACTCAGAAATACTTTTAAATGATTTTACTAACTTCTACAAACAGTCTGAGTTTAAAATATTTAATTGCTCAATTAACTCAAGAATAGTTATTCATTAATAGAGAAGGGAAAACCACAGTATTGTAAACATCACTCAAGTAAAACACTTCCACTTCAATTTTTCACAGTGTAGTTTGGAAAAATGCTTTTTTTTTCCCCCCTGATCAATTCTGCTCTTTCTCAGTTAATTAAAACTGACTTGACCTGGCTCCTTCAAAGCATATATATAAATTTTATGTTAACTCTGATAGGTACATCAGCCTGCATTTCTGAAATTTAGTTTCTCTTTACATATGTTAGTTTCAGACTTTCTCATTTCATTACACTGGCTGTGTTGTGTAAGTTTCTTATTTGTAAGCAACCTCAAACCCTCTATGCATGTGTGTGTGCTCAGTCATGTCCGACTCTTTGGACCCCATGGACTGTAGCCTGTGAGGCTCCTCTGTCCACAGGATTTCCCAGGCAAGAACACTGGAGTGGGAGGTCATTTCCTCCTTCAGGGGACCTTCCTTATCCAGGGATCCTCATCTCTGTGTCTCCTCCATTGGCAGGCGGATTCTTTACCACTGCTCCACCTGGGAAAATCCTCTGGGACATGTGTAAATCATAAATTTGTGTCATTCTAATTCAATTTTCTCTTAATGCAAAACAATATGGTTTTTAAAGTCTTTACTGCCCATAGCTGCTCAGAAAGGGTTTTGAGCACTTACCTTCCCAGGGGCCCAACAGCCACTGTGAGGTTCCCGCCAAGTGTAAGGTTACCACCTTTTGCAAAAGCTTCTACTGCTCTGTCATAGTTCAAAATTATTACCAAGTCCGATACCTGCAATGTAGAACCAAGTATTTTTAAATAATCCCACCTGTATATCATTTAAAATATGTTTATTACAACTCAAACATGCAATATGTAATGCAGCAAGAATTCCAATGTGGTCAAAGAGTAGGAAAGCAGAGTCACGCTTTACTTTCAGCTGAGGACTTAAGCAGCCCCCTCCCCCCAGGTAAGGAGAGGGGTCGGGCACCCGCTGGGGGCCTCCGGGCGCCGCTCCAGCTTCTCCGCAGCCTCGTGGGTGAGTGAGGCCAGGTGGGCTGTCCTAGTGACCGGCTCACCCTCAGGTAGGTGTGAAAGGTCAAAGGACTTCCTCAAATTAAACACTGGGCGAAGGCTGAGCTGGCGAAGGAGAGTGAGGAGCAGGTTAGAAGGTCAGGGATCTGGAGTCCGGATCCCACCCATGCCCCCAACCCCACCCTGCAACGTGCAAGATGTCAGGAGGAAGACTTGTTGCCACTAGCTGTGCCTATCACCACTGTTAGTCCTCCAAGTACAATAAAAGCGAAACTGGAGGGAGAACACGCCCTGGGGGGTGTATTCTTCTGGGGCAGGACCGCCAGGAGGGCCAACAGCTAGCAGGGCCCCGGGGCCACCAGGGGTACCTTTGGCCTTTTCATATTTAAAGCCCACAACAGGACCCACCCCCTAAGCTACCTGGAGGTCAAGTGCCCAGAAAACAAAAGGCAGGAGGGTTTAGCTGGATATCTGGGCTCAAAATTAAAGCCATCTGGGTGATAACTCCATTTATGCCCCCTGCACATGTGTGTGTGTCTATGTGTGTGTGTGTGAGTTGCTCAGTCGTGTCCGACTCTCTGCGACCCCGTGAACTGTATCCTGCCAGGTTCCTTCATCCATGGAATTCTCCAGGCAAGAACACTGGAGTGGGTTGCCATTTCCTTCTCCAGCACATTGTGTGACCTTGGGCAAATTCAGCAGTTCAGAGTTTCAATCTCTGTCTCTATAAAGTGGGTGTAATAACAGTGCCCACATTTATAAGTATATGTACTCACATAGGCATGTGTATTGTTGTTGTTCAGTCACTAAATTGTGTCCGACTCTTTGAGATCACATGGGCTGCAGCATGCTAGGCTCCCCTGTCTTTCATTGTCTCCCTGAGTTTGCTCAAATTCACGTCCACTGAATTGGTGATGCTGTCTAACCATCTCATCCTCTGCCACCCCCTTCTCCTTTTGCCTTCAGTCTTTCCCAGCATCAGAGTCATTTCCACTGAGTCGGCTCTTATGCATGTATATATGTGCATGCACAGACATAGTTGTTTGAAAGATGAATTGAAATAATTTGTAAAGCCTGGCGTATTCACTACATCTCAATAAAATATGCAAAGGCCAAGCAGATTAATTCTTAAAAGATGACTTCATTTATACTGTTCTTTACATTTTTCAAGTCGATGCCTTCATCTGACAGAAGAATCCAATTATTATCAAATGTGATTGCACTTGGAAGGGTCTAGTAGAATTCCTGATACAGTTTAATTTGAATCACTTCATGAAAAAGTACACTCAGGTTCTATAGAACAGAGTAAATATGCCAGCTAATTGACCCATGCAAAACATACCGCTGACTCATATCAATTGTTATTTCTACTTTACACACGAAGAATTCTGAGGATCATGGTGTTTAATGATACAGAATTATTTAGCATTTCTCATGCAAAGTTAAGCAATTTTGCCAATGACTGTATCACCAAACCATACATACTTTTTAAGATAATATACATGAAGTTACTTTGCATAATGCTTAGTGTATACACACTAGGTACTAAATCTCCAGTCATGACCTTGTAGGTCCTCTGGTTGCATGTCTCCTGCTGCTTGGTACATCTCAGTAAAGTAAGGCACAGCTATGAGTCAACAAAGAAAATAGATTAATCCTTTAAGTTTATGTCCAATCTCAATTCAGTTCTCCTGAAATAAGAGTAAGATAATCCTGTGTTCTTCGGTGACATGACCAATTAGACAGAGAGCCAGGCCCAAAGCTCCACAGTTTAAATAGCAGCAACAGTGCCAATGGCTCTTTACTTATTTCCACAGCTTAGAATGAAAAGCAGGATAGATTTCCTGAAAGAAAACTGGAACAGCGAGCAAATAAGCTGTATAAGACCGACAGTTGAGAATTTGACAAGGGCTTCTTAAGAAGTTTGAATTAAGATACAATTAACTTGTAAATAAAATGCAAGTTTTACAATTAAACCCAATTCTTAAACAAGAGTTTAAAAAAATCACTATCATGCAGGAAAGGCGAGCAAAAAGTGTTCTCAGGAGCCACTGGCCACAGCTCCCCGGCCCCCTGCCCCACACACCCTGCCCTCTGCCCTCAGAGGTTTACCCACCGTGGACCCGAGTCCCCGATGCTGCGGTCCTGTGATGAAGCCCCACATCCAGGCAACCTGGTGAGAAAGCCCAGGGCTCCTCCTGTAGTTCTGGTGAGACCTGCCTCCACCTCCTCCACCCTCTGCAGAAGCTCCGACGGTCTTTTTCTACATCTCTCCAGTCATTCTGCTCAGGAGTCTGCCCCACTCCCCTGGAAAGCCTCCTCTTGTGGGTGACAAGCTTCATGCTCTCACTAGGGGTCATCATCAGCCTCAACATCCAACCCAAACTTGAGAGGCTCCCAGCGCCTCTCACTCCTCACACCAACAGATCCTCTCTTGCACAGAACCTTAGGGGACTTAAGACACTGAACTCTGATCTCTAACAGTAGCTTCTCAGTTTAAGCCTAGATCTAGCCCTTCTCATTATTAAAGTAAAAGAGTTCATCCAAATTCTCCTGGGAAAGACTGAGCCATTTTTTTCATATTACAGTCTTGGGTGACACTGATCAGACTCGATAGCCCAGTGTGGATTCTGGCTTTTGGTAAACGACAAACAATGGGATAATCCGAGGTATTGGGGTTTTCAGAGCTTTGGGCTCTGCTATAATTGTCCTGGAAAGAAAATATTAGTAGCATTTAAACTAGGTCTTAGCATTATCTTTTCTGACTCTACTGCTTTTAAAACTTTTCTTTGTTGTTATTGTGTTTGGTGGGTATGTATGAGTTATACAACCTTGGGAATTCTCAGCAGTTCTCTCAAGTGGACCAGTGCCAGAATGTATATTTAACTAATGTCCAAGCTAATACAGGCCAACAGATCCTGTCAAAACATGACAGTCCTATGAAGGACTTCATAGCCTTAGCCTGGTCTAGACTGCAAAGCAGAGATAAATCTAGACTTCCTGGTGGTCAAATCCACATTTCCACATGTATGGAAGGGGTCGCCACCCATGGGAGGCAGCGTGGAGGGTGGAAACTCACTGGGGTCTTGGGCTCAGGAGAGGGGTCTAGTCACATGGCAAGGGCACCCCCGGCTCCTCCAGCCCTGCACCCAGCACTCGGCCCCTCACGCTGACAGGTGGTGGGAGCAGCCGTCCCCAGACACCGGCTGCTTCTCCTCTGTCGTAGGATGCGCCTCAGCTCCCTGTCATCAGTCCGTGTTGAGTTTACTGGGGACGACAGCCTTGCGCGGATGCTTCCTCCTATCTGTCTGCTTCCCTTGGCCCCTACAGTTGCCCTGAGAACACTGTTCAGTGAATCATGTGTGCCCCAAGTCCCGCCTCAGGCTCCGTCTCCAGGGAAACCAATCGGAGACAACCACACACCACCACTGCATGGTGCCAATCATCTCTGAGTACCAAAATACTCTCAGGCACCCTGCCTACCTCACGCATGTCCTCCAATCCACAGCGTGTTACAGGGATGGCAGTTACAGTCTAGACCAGGTGGGGCACCGGAAGCAGCCCTGGAACCGAGCGCACAGGACTAGACATCTCCGAGCCTCCACCTCCTCGCCTGCGAAAGGCGGCCCAGACGAGACGTCTCGTGAGGGAACCAGCACCCAGGGTTGCAGACAACTCGCCGGCTGTGTTTGGGGCCGGAGGCCTCCCTCTGAATAACCAGCCTGTCCCTCTCTGCCTGTCTCCACTGGAGGGGCCACAGAACTCAGTTATCTACACAATGACATCCTTCATGACTATGGTATGGAAATGATTCTGTAAGAAGATATGTGAGTGTTTTATGAGACTATAACCATTATTGCTAACTATTCCATTCTAAAACAGAATGGCAGATAATTAAAGTATTCAACAAATATTTGATAGTCTGAACCACTAATACCAGTGCTTTAAAGAAATAGACTTATTTTGTGTGTCTACTTGTGGTTGATACTTGGTCAGTCTAAGGACATAGGTACGAAGGACTGACAATTCAGATAAAGGCCAGACAAGAAAACCTCCAGGCTGGATCATGTGTCACGCACTCCATCTCACTAGCAGCAAGTGTCTGGTGGAAGAAGAACACCAGAGAGAGGACCGGGAAGCCCAGGGGGCTGCAGACTCTGGGGCGTGGGTCTTCAGCCCCCATTGGCCATGGCTCTGCTGCATTTCGCTGGGACCAGAGCCGGGCCAACAAGAGCATCCAGCAGCACGAGCTCTGTGGGCTCGTGGCCAGCAAGCTACCAGCTTCCTCACCTGTCCTGGGCCAGGGGTGTGCCCATAAGGGAAGCACACTCCTGTCCAGGACTGAGATGCTTCCTGGGGGACCAGCTTGGCCTCTTCCTAGCACTGAAAAGCGGTTGACGACTCTAACCTTACACCTGTGCTTGGGGAAGCAAAGCCGGGTCATATTCAAGAGGCACAAACTCCTACGACAGTCTAATCTCTACTTGAAGTGGATATTTTTCAAAGTTAACATGTATTTTCCATGTACAATATTCAAATAGAATTCCAGAGTTAATTTCTATACAGCCACGAGGGTAAGTTATGTTCATAGTTTCCACAGTTCAGCCTCTCAGTCATGTCCAACTCTTTGTGACCCCATGGACTGCAGCATGAAAGGCTTCCCTGTCCATAACCAACTCCTGGAGCTTCCTCAAATTCATGTCCATCGAGTCAGTGATGCCATCCAGCCATCTCATCCTCTGTTGTCCCCTTCTCCTCCTGCCCTCAGTCTTTCCTGGCATCAGGGTCTTTGCAAATGAGTCAGTTCTTCGAATCAGGTGGCCAAAGTATTGGAACTTCAGCTTCAGCATCAATCCTTCCAATGAATATTCAGGATTGATTTCCTTTAGGATGGACTGGTTTGATCTCCTTGCAATCCAAGGGATTCTCAACACCACAGTTCAAAAGCATCAATTCTTCAGTGCTCAGATTTCTTTATAGTCCAACTCTCACATCCAGACATGATTACTGGAAAAACCATAGCTTTGACTAAATGAACATTTGTCAGCAAAGTAATGTCTCTGCTTTTTGGTCATAGCTTTTCTTCCAAGGAGCAAGAATCTTTTAATTTCATGGCTGCAGTTCTGCAATGGTTTTGGAACCCAAAAAAATAAAGTCTCTCACTGTTTCCATTGTTTCCCCATCTATTTGCCATTAAGTGATGGGACCAGATGCCATGATCTTCGTTTTCTGAATGCTGAATTTTAAGCCAACTTTTTCACTCTCCTCTTTCATTTTCATCAAGAGGCTCTTTAGTTCTTCTTCACTTTCTGCCATAAGGATGGTGTCATCTGCATATCTGAAGTTACTGATATTTCTCCTGGCAATCTTGATTCCAGTTTGTGCTTCATCCAGCCTGGCATTTCGCATGATGTACTCTGCATATAAGTTAAGTAAGCAGGGTGACAGTATGCAGCCTTGACATACTCACTTCCCAATTTGGAGCCAGTCTGTTGTTCCAGCTCTAACTGTTGCTTCTTGACCTGCATACAGATTTCTCAGGAGGCAAGTCAGGTGGTTTGGTATTCCCATCTCCTTAAGAATTTTTCACAATTTGTTGTGATGCACACAGTCAAAGGCTTTGGCGTCGTCAATAAAGCTGAAGTAGATGTTTTTTTAGGAACTCTCTTGCATTTTTGATGATCCAATGGATGTTGGCAATTTGATCTCTGGTTTCTCTATATAGTCCATGGAATTCTCCAGACCAGAATACTGGAGTGGGTAGCCATTCCCTTCTCCAGGGGAGCGTCCCAACCTAGGGATTGAACCCAGGTCTTGCGCATTGCAGGCAGATTCTTTACCATCTGAGCCACCAGGAAAGCCCCAAATTTCCCAAAGATGGCACATGTAGGTAAATGTTATTTGAGATGGAGCCTCAGAGTCTGGGGTCAGAGGGCAGTGACAACAGGGACACGTGGGTATAGTGCCAGGAGGTGTGAGCAGAGGTGCACAACAGAGGCTGAAAACACACTTTGCATACAAGTGCATGTTGCCGGAGGCTATGATTTCATTGAATATACAAGACAGTCGTAATAGCAAAACTAAAATATGTTCCTCTTTTTATGATACAGATTTATGCAGCAGCAAGTAAAGGTCCAAAAAAAAAAAAAACCGGTAGTGGAAGTATTTCCTCCTAATAAGGCCATGTTTCTGGGTTCTAAGTCGTTTCAGTCATGTTCAACACTTTGTGACTCCAGGGACTATAGACCACCAGGCCCCTCTGTCCATGGGATTCTCCAGGCAAGAATGTTGGAGTGGGCTGTCATTTCCTTCTCCAGGAGATCTTCCTGACCCAGGGATCGAACCCACATCTCTTACGTCTAACCAGTATTGGCAGGCAGGTCTTTACCACGAGCACCACCTGGGAAGCCCAAGCACATTTTAAACTATGGCAACAGGGCAAAGTCATTAGAGGAGAGCTTAGGAAGAACTGGCTGAAATTTGAGGAAAAGATGATTTGGGAACATTAGGAGATTTGATTTACCAATCACTCAGCAGTAAAACAACAGATGAAAGATTAGTATTGTGCAGATGCTCCCTGTTGGAGAGACCTCTGAAAAGGAGTGTGTGCTGGTGTGATTTCTAGTTCCTTTGATAGAAACCATAATTAGAGCAAAGTTGCAAAATGAAATAATACAAAGACAATTTGTACTTAAAAAATTTGAAGTAATTTGAACATTAGTAGTAACACAAACTGGATTTTGCCACAAATGATGATACATAACGTTAAGCTGTTTGCACCCACGACTTCAATCAGAAGCCAGAAGCTGCCAATTAAATTTTGTCAGATCTGAGAATAACTGCTTTTCAGATGTGCTAAAGATGGGAACATATGAGATGGTAAATGGAAGAAACTCTACAGCCAAGGAAAAAAAAAGAGACAAATGATAAACATTCCATAGTTTTAGGCAGAGATTCAAGAAAATAAAGGGGAACAATTTCCACAGGTGGTAAAACAAGAACGGGAGGAAATCTCAAATCTCTCACCTTTCATGAATCAGCTGCGTTTAGAGAATAAGGCAACTGTACATATACACGTCACCTACTCACCTCTATTCCTAGTTCAAATCCTCCACCAAGCCCAGCTATCCCGATGGCTGAAGGTGCAGACCATTCTAACAGAAACAAACAAGCAATTCTAACATTAAAACTCCTTGGCATATAAATATAGAGAGGAAAGATGCTAAAATGTGAATGAATGGTGTTTATTTTTAAAATAATGAGACTTTGGCATTTTTGCCTATGTTTTAAACTGTTCTTTAATAAACATACGTAATTTTTTAAGTTAAAAATGTTTGAAAGGTGTTAGATATGTATTATGAGCCTCATAGACTCACAAGTCTATGTTTTCCAATCTTTCCCTATAAATATGCATAGAAAGTGAAAGTGAAGTCGCTCAGTCATCTCCGACTCTTTGCGACCCCATGGATTGTAGCCTAGCAGGTTTCTCCGTCCATGGGATTTTCCAGGAAAGAGTACTGGAGTGGATTGCCATTTCCTTCTCCAGGGGACCTTCCCGACCCAGGGATTGAACCCAGGTGTCCCTCATTGTAGGCAGACGCTTTTACCATCTGAGCCACCAGGGAAGTCACAAAAAAAAATGCACAATAAATATGCATAATACCAAACTATTGAATTCTCACTGATTAACTATACATAGCATTTGATAATTTCAACCATCACTATTTATAATGTTTTGTAATATAATTGAGCTGGAATTCTAGTCTTTAGTTAGAACTTTATCATAGATATGAGAGCAAAAGGATTCAAGAGTATTATAGTCACTTCTAAGGGTAACATAATACTAAACGGTTTCTATTGTAAGTCTCTGAGGGCAAACCCTGTTTTGACACCCTTTGTGCCTAGTAGAAGCACAAGAAACAGATTATCAATTCAAGATTATTAAAATTCTAACAAGATACCTATCCTGACATTTGGAAGCTAAGTAAAATAACTCCATTTGCCATGATACGGTACATTTCAGGATTATCTGTGCTTATATTTCCTGATGTAAACACAACTATGTTAAACAAGTCTAGAGAAAAGCAGCTGGGGGGATGGGGGTGATCCTGGAGTACTGCAGGAAGACGCTCGGTGGCGCCCTGAGCCTAGCTTCCCCTGCTGTCAGGCTTCCTGGATGACAGGCTGGTGCCTGAATGCATCCAGAACTCCTCTGTCTGGGCTTAGGGGAGTTTTGACTATAGAAATTAATGTCTCGTAACCCCAAAGTTGTTTTCCACTTCCTTGGTTAGGGACTGTCCCTGTTTAAAGATGGCTCACCTGGCCAGGGTCCAGGAATTTGCTTGCCACACTGGGTGGCTTTTGAAATACCCTCTGCAGAGTGACCACCAGCTAATTGGGAAGATGGGAGAGAGAAACTTGGGTACTTAAACCAGTGGGCAGGTCCCCCTGAGGTTCTGAGAGGAGACCCAGGGTGGACAGCTCCTCCGCTTTCTGACAGGCACCTGTCCACCACAGTGCACACCTGCTGGGCAAGATGGGGGCTTCTTGCAAACCTGGAGCCTAACTGTGAACTCAATTTCAACGTGTCTACTTGTCTGGTTGTACCACTGAGAATCTGCCTATGAAAATTTGGGTAACACACCTTCTCTTCAGAAAAAGAGAATTTTGTCATTTTTGTTTCATAGCCACACCTGGAGCTAGGAAATGTGACGTACAAACTCAGGAGCGGGGGACACCTCACAGGAGGTAGTGAATTCCACCGACACATGTTCCAGAGCTGTGCACCCCACAAATGCCCAGATGTATCTACTGCAAATGGATGGCGCATGTTCTTTCTCGGAATAAAATTAAATTATTGACACTAAAAAGAGCTATTAACAGAAGTGAAGTGAAAGTCGCTCAGTTGTGCCGGACTCTTTGCGACCCCATGGACTATACAGTCCATGGAATTCTCCAGGTCAGAATACTAGAGTGGGTGGCATTTCCCTTCTCCAGGGGGCCTTCCCAATCCAGGGATTGAACCCAGGTCTCCCACACTGCAGGTGGATTCTTTACCAGCTGAGCCACAAAGGAAGCCCAACACATTGAAACATTAACAGAAAAATGTGTTCAATTATATAACTGAACAGCTAATGTTAAATTCATATAAAAAGGCCTTTAGACGGTGATGACACACCTGGTGGTGCTTCAGTCGCTAAGTCATGTCGGATTCTTGCGGCCCCGTGGACTACAGACCGCTACGTTTCTCTGTCTGTGGGATTCTCCAGGCAAGGATACTGGAGTTGCCATTTCCTTCTCCAGGGGATCTTCCCAACCCAGGAACTGAACCCTGGTCCCCTGCATTGCAGGCAGATTCTTTATCAACTGAGCTATGAGGGAAGCCCCTACACATACCTACACACATTTCAAATATGGTAAATGTTGGTTCTTGAGATTCAAGGCAAATATATTTTGATGTCATGTCTGAAAAGTCAGGTATTAGATTTCACACCAGAAAGTAAAGCCAAATTATACTGATCTTGACATGATTCTACCCTGGGGATGGATATTCTTTAAAATGTTTCAGTTTTTAAGGTCTCCTACAGGAAAAATGGGGGAAAAGCTTACATCAGCTTCCATAAAACAGAAGAAAACAGTAGTACCCTGAAGCTGAGGAATAAGAACACATATTCGACAAGAGAAATATAATGTCAACGTTTAGTATTTGCTCCACGGAAGGACGAGAAAATATGTACAAGCGGCGGCTCGCCTTCCGGTTCCGAGAGGCTCCCGGGCTGGCTGACTCACACGAGCCCAGGGGGCGGCCGCAGGGAGGCGGTTCCGGCGGGACCAGAAAACCCGCCTCCCTTCCGAGGAACCGTGTTCGCGTGGACACGGAACATGAGCGGGAGCGGCTCTCTGCTCCTCCCGTGAAGAGTCACTGACTTACTTCCGTCTGGAAGGCGCGCCAGCACGATCCCGCTGCCTCCTCTCGCGGTGACCAGAAACCCAGCCTTTATCACAGAAAGGATGGCGAGGCCCTTGGCTTTGGCGATGACATGCGCTGCAAAAGAGCAGAGGGTGCACCCGGCCGGGTCAGGCCTGGGCATGGAGCTGTGCTGCCCGGACCCGGGCCTCCCTGGTCTTAGTGGCACAGGTAACTGAGGAAAATCCATCCCACATGAGCCTGAAGCCTTTGGTGGCCCTAACCCGACAGCACAGGTGCTCAGAAATTCTGCAGTGGCCACAAGAAATGAGAGCCTGGGATGAGACTGTGCTGATGTCTAGTAGCAGGACAAATAATTTGGAGATTTCAATGAATTTAGAACATAATGTATAATTTTCAAATTTATTCAAAGAAATTAAGATCTACAGAGTATTAAGGAGAAACTTACACAGTGACTGATATGCAGTGTGTGGCAGTGTTTGAGCTTAAAGCCACATCACTGAGCTCACCTGCTAATAATATGAAAATCTGGATTCAAAACCAGAAAAATTTAATGATTTTGCCACTTAAAAAAGGTTTTTAACTTTATAAAATGATTTGATCAGTATTTGAATAACACATAACTACCAAGGCACTGAAAATATAATTCCATTTACAAAATATTGGTTTATTCACATTTCAGGGAAATTCATTCCATAAAAGGAAGGTTATTAACATAGGGCCTACTAACCACAGTGCCTCACTATTCTGTGGATTTATTTACACAATAGTATATCTTTCAAATAACAAAGGAAGCCTTAAGACTGAAATTATTCTTGGATCCCAATACTACTTCTAAGGTAGTTTAATTTATCATCATTTTGTGTGCTTAGTCACTCAGTTGTGTCCGACTCTTTGCGACCTCATGGACTGTAGCCCGCCAGGCTCCTCTGTCCATGGGGATTCTCCAGGCTAGAATACTGGAGTGGGTTGCCATGCCCTTCTTATTTTGAAGAAGTCAAACCAAATAGTGTACTCAAATACACAAAAAAGACTTTATATGCTTGCTGCTGCTGTCGCTGCTAAGTCGCTTCAGTTGTGTCTGACTCTTAGGAGACACTAAATTTCAAATACAATTATGCATACCATTTCAAAATTTAAATTAATAACAGACTCTCAGAGATGATTCGACCACAGGCACACGGAGGGTGACATGCAGATTGTCTCTGCAGCTGCTGGTGCTGAAGCAAGGGTGAGAAGTGATGCTGTTCAGAGGGCCGCCTGCTAAGGGGGCCTGAGTTCAAGTTCTAACGGGTGTAACAAGGTAATGATAATGGACAGTTTCATTACATGTCAGGGAGCCTGTTTATACAGCACATGCTGGCAGAACATCCTCAACACCTCACAGGCCGTTCTCAGTGCTTTTACAGTGAGCACTGCCTCTGTTCAGAAACATTAAACAGAACAAAAGTAGATTTTTTTAATGAACACAGTTCAAATGTCAGGTGTGTTTTTAATATCTTACCCACCCAAGTTCAGGGACAGTAAACTACCAATAATCACTAAATAATTGTCCAGTTAGCTCTTCATTTGTAATGAGGATGGATCGATTGCAAATTTACTCTCTAAATTCAGTCTCACATCTCAGAGCCCTTACACCAGAAAACTGTGAACTCACAGCCAAGGAGGTCTAAAGGTCTGGGCATTCTGTTTTAAAATGCTTTGAGACTTCATCTGTTTCATAACAGAGCTCCCCAGTTTTAATGTAAACATAATGCCCCTCCCTCCGCGTCCCATGGAAAGGCAAGGCTTGCTCCCCTGGCAGCTGGGCCTTCCTGCCTCCCACCCCCATCCCTCCACTCACAGTCTGGATACCCTGGGAGCAAGCTCTTCCAGAGGCTCCTATGTAAACAGATTTTCATTTTCTGAGTGACAGCCAGTGAAAGGGAGTTGGGTGGCCTTTAACTGGAGGCAGAAAAGGCAAGACAGAATTCTGCTGGACAAAATCCTTGAGAAATAATCCATACCCAGATATTTTTATGGTAGGAAATACACTTCATCTTTAAGTTGGGCTAGCCTGATATGTAGCTGATATATACCAAGAAATGTCTTCTACCTCCTGCTTCAGAACAGAGCTAAGAAAACTCAAATTTTCTGGTTGACTTTCCTTCAAGTCCTATGCAGTGCTTCTCAAACTTTCACATGCATGTACCTCACTGGAGATCTTGTGAAAAATGCAGATTATGATTCCTTAGGTCTAAGAAGGTCCTGCATTTCTAACAAGCTCCCAGGTGATGCTCAAATGTTGTCCAGTCTGCACTTTAAGTATCAATGCTCTAAAAAGCCCTGTTTTCTTAAGATGAGAGGAGTGGCTAGGCCAAAATAAGAGCAATTAGTATTACTATTATAACAACAACACATTAGTAATTTTTAAAAACATTTAAAGATCTGTTAAACAACTTCAGAAAATCTAGCTTAAGAAATTAAACTCTTTTTTTAAATGAAGGATGAAAGTCCTGCACTAAGAGGGAAATTTGCCTGCCCAAGCTAGTTTGCATATGAGTCTCTTAGCATCAGATAAGTATTTTCTGAAACACCTTTTAGAAACAGCTGGTAGTAGTAATGAACAGATAGTGGTTCCCAAAGGCTTGCCTCTGGACCAGGTCTGGTGTGGCCAGCCTGACTACAGGAGAATCACGGAGTCTGATTCAGCATGTCTGGGGGAGCTTAGGAACTGAGATTTCTGACCCCAGGAATACAGATTTGTAGTTGTACTGGGAATCCTTGATCAGTCTTCTTAAACCACTGTAAGGTATAACTATCTTATCTAGAAAGAAAAAACACAAATTTAAAATTTATTTATGAGATTACCTAGTGAGTTTGCAAAGTCCTCAGAAACTGTGGACAAGGACCTGTGAGTTTGAGGGAAGTGGCGCTGGCAAAGGACACGGGATACTTATAGCGATGGGCCCCCAAAAGGGGGAAGGAGCAGGGGTCTTACAAGGCAGGTGGGAGAGGTGACCACCCAGAGCCCAGTGGGGAAGACAGGCCCAGAGCAGAAAGGTGGTCTGAGGACCTGTGTGCAGTCAAGGGTTGAGAAGATAATTTGGGAAACAGAGCAAATGTAGAAGTGGAAAGTACTTATGTTATTCACCTACCAGGAATGATCTTATCAGGTCCATTTCTGGAAGTTATTTCTGTGAATTCTCTTAGAATTTTAGCAGCCTTTTTTGCTTCAGATTTCAAATTGGAAGGTATAGGGTTGTTCACTAAAAGATTAAAAAAGTGATTTTAATGAAAAAAATCTACTAAATAGAAGTTAGAAGTTTGTTATAATTTCATTTTTGTCATACACAATTAAGCATTAACAAACTGTATCCTACCAGACAAAGGAAATAAATTGAAAATCCTTATTTGGTGATCATTTCATCTCTATTTTCCTAATAAATTAAATTCACTCTGAGATTGGGAAACCTTAAACTCTCAAAAATCTCAGAAATTTAAAATCACAGAGATCTAAATGATCTTAAAAGGACTTAGCAACTGAATAGCAACAGTTTGTAAGGAACACAGTCCGAGGTGGGCTTCTGCCCCACGCTGCAGCTTCCAGGCAGAAAAGCGGAAATCCTGGCCTTCACCTCAACTTTCCCTCCCCTCAGGAATCCTAGATCCACTTGCTGTCATTCAGTGTAAAAACTGATGCTGGAAACATTTCCCCCAGTTTCTAACTGTTATGCAAATGGTGATTCCAACACCAGTGTCTTTGTTTGAAGCTCTCAGTGCACTTTTAATTTGTTCTTTTATGATAAGTAATATTAATATCCTTCCATTTCTGTCAAATCTTTTTTTTTTTCAAATCTTTTTTTTTAATATTTCCTGTCTATTTAGGGAGGGTATTTCTGTTTCTTATTGATTTATATATTAAAGAATTAACCTTTTTTTCTAGAATACAAGTTACATTGATTTCTTGTCATTTGTCTTTTCAATTTTCTTATGATAGTTTTTCTACTTTTTAAAAAATGAAAAACAAAGTAGTCCTCAAATTCATTTGGAAAAATAAGCAAGAAAGGCCAGAAGAAAATGTGTGAAACAAGAAAAATAAGGGTGAAAAGCTCCATCTAACATATTATAAAGCCTCAATAATTTACCTCCTAGTGATACAAATATGGACAGAAAAATCAATTTTACAAAATAGAAAATTCAAAAATTGGCCCAAATGTATAAGTGAATTTAATTATATGATGAATACTGCATCTCAAATAAATGTGGAAAAATTGCCTTACACAATAAATAGTGGTCCTTTGGGGGGAAAAATCATCCTCAGCGTCACATTACATAAACTCCAAACCTATCAATGATTCAAAATGCCAAAAGCCAAACCATAAAAGAACTAGAAATTTTGGGAGAATTACTTTTCAAATTCATGGTGTAAAAGGCCCATGAATTTTGAGACGAAAAGTTAAAAAAAAAATTATGGCATAAGTGCATTATAAAAATAAAGGAAAAAGCATAGGTATGCAAATACTGAAGGAAAAAAGACACCCCTACCACTGATATTCACCAGTACTGCTGTCTGCATTTAGCCTGTGCTTCAATTGGTTCCTATTGTTAAACAAGTAGATTATTTCATTTTTAGCTTTTATTGATACCACTGTTAGATAGTAATTATCTTGAAAGAATCTTAGGAGTTGGAATTAATGACTTAAAAATTTTTTTTTAGGCTTTTTTCCATTATCAGGTCACCTTCTAAAATTATTCTCCAACCTTAGAACCACCAAGTGTTACCATGAGACATGTACTGCCACCAGGGAAGCCGCAGAGGCGAGGTGGGCATGTCAGAACAGGGCGGCAAACTCATGTTTGAGTTTATCCCACACCAGCCGAGGTCACACTTGTTTACATTCTGTTTTGCATATTTTCTGTTGGTGCTCTTTGCCTATTTTTCTGGTCCTATACTCCTTTATCTATAATTTTAATCATGTCGCAAGTTTCCATTTCAGCTTCTTGTTTTTTACACTTTTATGTATAGTTTCTCAGTATTTATTTTCATTTATGTGACAATATCTCTCTGGGCTTTCTACCATTATCATCTTTCTATTATTGTGACTAAAAGTCTTATTTGAAGAACAAAGTTTACAAGTATTATTTCAGATTTTCTTTCAGAGCTTTTATTTTACATTAAATATTTGACATACCTCAAACTTGTGTTTGTATAGGATGTGAAGTTAGAACCTAATATTTTAAACATATTTGACACAATTTATTGAATAAACCACAGCACTTAATTAACAATGCTACACTCACAACAAAAGCAAGAAAGGAATATTCATATAAATATATATACTCATATATTTAAAAATATATGACAGAGATGACACAGTAGATTAATAAATTGTTCTGGGACAACTCTGGGTCATTCAAAGGGAAACAAAATAAAATTAGATTACAACATCACATCATACAAAAAATTCAATGTAACTGAAGGCCTAAATATTAAAAGCATAACTTTGTACTTTTAGAATAAAAAGAATAGGGAATATCTTAATGATCTGAGGATGGAGGAATGGTATAAACAAGGCACAAAATAAAGGGAAACTACAGATATATTCAACTACATTAAAATGTAAAAAGTTGTATATCAACATACATTTAAAAATAAAAATATAAACCACAGACTGGAATATATTTGTCATAAGTATGACAGAGATTTAGAACTTATAATATATAAAGATCTTTTACTTTTTAATACATAAACTTAAATGTATTTACATTTATTATGATTGATAGTTTATGGTTATTGATTTATAATTACAAATCATTGAATTTTTCAATTTGTATTTCTATCATATCCTTAGTATTTTTTCTTTTGTTATTTAAAATTTAGAGTTCTTCATGTAGACTTTTTAAGTCCATCTTTGGTTCTGCACATTTTGCTTCAATTTCTCCTTTTTTAAAAAAAAAATTCATTGGAATATAGTTGATTTACAATATTGTGTTAGATTCTTCTGTACAGAAGAGTCACTTACACACATATTTATCAACCATTTTTTAAAACATTCTTTTCCCATATAGGCTATTACAGCATATTAATCAGAGTTCCTTGTGCTATACAGTAGGTTCTTATTATCTATTTTATATATAGTCATATGTATATGTCAATCCCAGTCTCCCAACTTATCCCTCCCTACCCGTTAAGCAGTGGTAAGCATAAGATTGTTTCCTATGTCTGTAACTCTATTTCTGTTTTATACATAAATTCACTTGTACCTTTTCCTTCGATTCCACACATAAGTGGTATCATATGATATTTGTCTTTGAGTTACTTCACTCAGTGTGACAATCTCCAGGTCCATCCACGTTGTGGTAACTTACATTATTTCATTCCTTTTTATGGCTGAGTAATATTCCACTGTATATATGTACCACTTCAAGAATATATAAAGATCTTTTAATATCAAAAAATATGAAATTACTATAGAAAATTAGGCAAAATATTCAACTAGCTAATCCACAGAAGAGGAGACCACCATGGCCAATAAATACATGAAAAGTGGCTCAAACTCCTAAGAACCCAGGGATGTGCAAAGCCGGACCATAATGCATTATCATTGCTCGTCCTCTAGGCGGACAGCAATGAGCAAAGCCTGCCAGTGCGCATGTGCAGGCCATGCAGGGGCACGGAGGAAGCCGGTGCCCCACCGGTGAGGCCCTGAGGAAGCGCAGCTGCTGCGGGAGCTCTGAGGACAGCAGAGATGACCCACCAATTCCACACCTGGATGCGCTCAGGGAGACAATGGCAGCTGGGCGGGCCGGTGGCCCCAAATTCACGTCCACCGGGTCCTGTGAAAGGGGGTCTCACTTGGCAAAAGGGCCTTCGCAGATGTGACTAAGTTAACCACTCCAGACTCCCCAGGTGGTCCCTAAGTGCAGGATGACTGCCCTTAACGAAGCAGAAAGGGTGAGACCTGGGGAGGCGGGGAGGCCGCACTGTGCGGCAGCCAGCCTGGAGCACTCGGCCGGGGAGCTGGGGAGAAGGCGGGCCTTCTGGAGGCGCGGGGCCCTCCAGGTGCGGCCGCTGACTCCCCACGGGAGGCCTTCCCCGTGGGAGACGCCTGCCTGTTGCTGTAAGCCAACCAGTTCCTGGTAGCTTGTCATGCAGCCCAGGAAACCAGTACTACATGTGTAAGAAGGTTCGTGGAGGCAAGGCTTTTAATAGCAAAATAGTAAGAATAGCACATAAAAACAAACACTTTCAAAGCAGGAAACAAATTCCCCTCAAGAGGAGGATGGATATACCTAGTTTGGTATAGTATTAAAACTGTATTCTATATAGAACTCCAAATAAACTAGGTTTACATGTATCAGCATGGCAAAATATGAATATTAGGAGGAAAAGCAAGCTACATAAAGATATATAGGGTATCACACACTTATGTAAATGTTTATATAAATATATATAAAAATAAAGTATAATGATACTTGCTGTGGGGTGTGGGGAAGGCTTATATAGGAAGCTTGCTAGAAACATGTACCATGTAGAGTAAGTCATGGAGGTAAACTGCTAGTCTCAACAGTCCTTTGTATGTTGTATGTATGAAATATTACATAACAAAGATTGCTCAGCATAAATTGAATATTTTACAATTAAATATTTAATGTAGTAGTGGAAATGCATGACTCCAGTTGTTAAAAAATGTTTGTTATGAATAATTACTCCATACATTATCTTTTGTTTAAAATGTGATCTCTCACAACGAACATGTCTTGTATGAAGAGGTATAGAAAAGGGAAAAATATATCCTTACATTTTACACAAACAAGAGTATAGGCAGCGTCCCCTTCTCTGTGCCTCTGTGGACACACACACAAACACACACAGAATTCACAGGACAGGGATTTGGTGAGTAGCTACACACTAGATATTCAATTATTATTATATGCACTTGTATATCATTGCTAATTCTTAAATTTTAATTTTAGGAACTAATGTACAGTTGCTCTTCGTCTCCCCAGTCATGCATTTAAAATCACACTGTCCCATTTTGCTGATGGTACTAAGATGCTGAAAGGCTGGTACTCTCAGTACTCTGCGGTCGCTTTCAGTGTTGGATACGAAGCACAAAGATGAACACAGAAAAATTCTCAGAAGCACATAATTTTTAAATAGGGAAGGAATCTTAAAACACCCATTTAAAAGTATGTCAATGTACAAGTGACATTTTAAACATTTCCTATTATCAGTGCTTTGGTTATACAATCTGGATTCAAA